CCAATTTCGAGTCTGCAATGACTTTGATATTCTTGGATATATTTCAGGTCCACCCGTAAAATCCACATCTACCACTTTGGTCTGTACCCCGTACTCAGATTCTTAGCAAAGGCAAATTCAGTGGTTAGTATTTCAAATGCACCTGAATGTAATTAATGTTAAAATCACACCTCACACTTCAGAGCATCACAGGATATATGTATAAATTTGTTCAGCCTGGTTTCCGCACTGAAAGGGAACTTTTAGTGGACAGCAGATGGGTAGAGAGGTCTCGAAAATATAACACGTGGTTCCAGAAAACATGCACAATAAATTCTTACCTATTTCATGCGCAACTTTTTTCAGTTTTTCCAAACTTCTGCTGATTAGGACAACGTTAATACCTTTGGCTGCTAACTGTAACCAGGAGATATACAATATATATTGCACAAACGATTCAATATAACAAATACAATATAGTACACGGATTTAAAACGATTTCTACAATATGAAGAACACGCTACGGTTACGGATTTCGCGTGACGGTCCTGTGTGCTGACCGTGCGTACTGACACATTAATACTACTGGAAATCACAAGACAATAATGATGATAATTTGAATGCGAAAACAAGATTCTGACTTCCCGAGGCATTTTTTAGTGAGAATGGGAAAGCAGGTTTACGATTATCCTTGGAACAAATTCTCTCGAACAATAATGTAAAAATAGCTTCATGTCTTGTATTTTAAAATACAATGAAAGTTAATTCGAAAAAAACAACACGAAATAAACAAGCACACAGAACAACAGACACTTACTTCTTTTGCATATGCCTTCCCTATTCCATCAGTGGAACCAGTGACGACTGAGAAAAGAAAGGGCGCCTTTGTGAGATGGAACTGATGTGTGTGACATACAGCCAGTTAGGCCTTGGTGTCATGTGGGTAGGTTAGACTATAATCTCCGAGTGTTCATATAAATCATATTGTGGACATCGAGCCGATGGTAGAAGATAATATTTGGTAATCGTAGTCCTAAATAACCATTCAAATAGAATGGCATGCACAGGTAATGTACAACGAATAACCAAGTAAAGACAACGTCGTTGAACCAACTAACAAATTAAACATACGCTAATAAACATTTCAATGTTTATCGTTCAACGATGATATTTCATGACTTTTTGTCGATGTCACCGATTCTGAGGTTGTTCATTCATTTCATGTTTGAAATGCACAAAGGACAATCTAACATTAAACGTGACCTTTAACCCAGGAGCGTGATTCGTGGCCGCTATAAATTGCATTTACCGAGTTAGTTTTCAAAATAAATGTTCAAAATTGTTGTCACATGTTACCAACAATTCTGGACCAGTTTTGCAGTGATTTCTCCCCCAGGTTGTTCCCATATAGGCTAATTTCACATACCTGCCCATGCACCTAACTTTTTGAGGTTCGTAGATAATCCCAGCGGTCTTGATAACACATAAGATTTAAAACCACGCCAAACCGACAATACTAACTTCAGTGTAAACCAAACTAAAGTACAGGCACCAACGGCTGTGAAAACGCGATTTTCTGCATAGCGTAGAATTAATTGAATGGGCAACATTTTAGTTAGGTGTTCTATTGGTAACTGTTACTAAGCGCGTTGTCAACTTATGCAGTTTATTTTTCAAAACGTATTTTGCTGATACGTACACTTATCTCCGTAAAGATGTCAGATTACATTACCAGATACAGGGTTGGGAGTACAGACCAAAGTTCTTTGACCCACATTTATTTACAATGTGTGCTGACAAAAACAGTAAAAAAGGTAAAATACATCCTCATCATCATGCTTTATCAATCCAATGTCTTAAAATTATACTGTCATAACGGACAGTCATTTCGTCGCAGGTATTGTTTCGTCTCAGTTCATCGAAGGCAAATTATCACAGCAATTTTTATGTTACGCACGGCAATTTAACCTGACAATTTAAAAAGAATGTTTCTCTCGAGTAAAATAAATTGAAAAATTTTTGTCAAAATAGCACAATAACATATTACGATCAAATAATTTAAAGTATATTTAAAGTATAAATAAAATATATCTGGCTCTAATTATCCGGAATTTTTGTGGTAATTCGAGGGTTATATATATATATAACTCCCCGCGATTTAAAAAGTACGAAATATGTATCTGTCTCGACTCACTGATTGTGATATTATGTTACATTAATTGCTCCACCATAGTATTAAAGCCGATCAACTACATAGACGGGATTCTTTTGAGAAGAATATGGTAATTAAAAGTGAATCTTTTAAAATAAAAAAATATCAATAAATCATTAACAATCAAACCATACTGACAAATAAATAAATAAAATATCTACTGATTCCCGGTGTTATGATGTAAGTTAACAAGCACGCAACGAGCTTCCATATATTGATTTAATGGTGAACTGTGGTGTACTCCAAGTAAACTTGGTAATGACCGATCGTCGCTCTTTAGGCAGATGAACGGACATCCGAACACCAGTGTGGTTCTGAGTGATTCACTATTGCAATTATGCATTCCTCGTGATTTCAAATGATTTACGTTTAAACAAGGACTAGTGATTCCATATAATAAACAGGCTCACGCTTTCTGTGTCTTTTATTTCACAGCTGACCACCATGAGGAGAGAACGTGTTTGAAACCTGTTTGAGGGCAGAGCTTTCGATTTGAAATGTACTGTGTGTACATGCATTAATTATCCGCTATTTTTGCTGATGAGCAAATTACGCCAAATTTAATCCACGTGAACATGTAAAATAACAATATAACTCGATGTTTCCCTGCCAAGTTCGCGAACTTAAAAAACAATTATATTAAAACATTAAAATAATGAAATTAAATGTCGGAGTGAAATAAAATGGTTTTACGGTATACTTTAAATTACACATATTTTATTAGTGTTACTAGAACGAAGTGACAACAACTTTTGAAGAAGCAACATTGTGAAAAAAACAGTATCGGGACAAAACAGTATTCCGACGAACAAATATTAGAACGAAATAACTGCAGCACAAAACCACAATGATACCATAGACAAGGAATGAAGGCTCCAGCCAGCTCACATTTTTTAAACTCGAAAAAAACAGTCAAAAAGAATGAAGAATAAAATCTAAAAAAATACCGAACCCGAACGCATGGCACACTTGGAGGCGAAGAACCAATCACAAAACTGTCTTATAATTGGTTGTTAACAAATTTAGAACAGGCCACGCCTCCAACTGTGCCAGGGTCAGGGTTGAACTGTGCCGTACGTTCGGGCCAACCGTTAATTATTCAGAAATAGAGTCAATTTGTGTAGTTTTCTTGATTTATTCTGCAGATAAGTAAAATATAGGTAAGGCTTTGGCGAAATTTGAAATAGCAACTAATATTCTTCAACCTGGTATTTTTTATAGATTTTATTTTTCATTCTGTTCGTCTGTTTTTTCCAGTTTAAAAAATATGAGCTCGCTGGAGCCTTCATCCCTTGTCTATTTCTTACACTAGATACCAGCCGATACCCCCCACCTCATAGAGACTGCATACAGTTGATCATAGTTCCTGAGCTCCCTGTTATAAGACGGAAAATTTTGCCACTGTAAAGGATGAATAGCGACAATCAACGGCTTGCCGCTGACACACAAAGGTGAACGTTGACCTCAGATCACATCGTTGTTAAACATGGCAGCCATTGCAGCAGTTTTGGATCAGCTGGACCATCCTGTGTTTGCAGCTGTCGGCGCTGTAGTTGTTTGTTGGTATTCGTTACAGTTGGTGTTATCTGTACTGCGAGGTGTTAAAACATACGTTTTGACCGGGACTCTTGGCCTGTCTACAGATCTGCGAGGACTAGGTAACTGGGCTGGTGAGTAATATTTCATATTCATCGTAATGAACAAGCCATTCCCGCAATGTAAATACACATGACATGTCAAAGGTAGCTGCAGCTCTGTAGCTCCCTGGTTTCGCGTTAACACCACGACAAACAAAATAACCGACAGCGAAACCAAGCGAACTAGAGAACTGGGTTTCGCGTTAACACCACGACGAACAAAATAACGGACAGCGAAACCAAGCGAGCTACAGAACTGCAGCTATGTCAAAGGCCGTTCCTCATTGCTCGCGGACCACACAAGTTACAGAATAATTGCGCAATGCTTAAGTTTTGAACGCATATATTTACTACCTGGATTAAATTTTAAACGGACCTTTGCAAGAACTGGGATACAGTTAACTTTTTCACTCCGAGGTTCAGATGGAGGCTCCTACATTTCGGTTAATTATACTGTAAAGGGGGTAATTATTCACTGGGTTTTAATTTAGCTTATTTCGCTGACTGGAAAATGCGATAAATTAAAACCCAGTGAATATGTAAAATTTAGAATAGAACACATTATCTAAATGATAAAATCGTGAATTTAAAACCCACTGAATATGCCTGAAATGGTAAATCGGTGAAATTTAAACCCAGTGAAAATTAGTCATTTTACAGTAATCAGCGTAATTGTGAAACGCCCCAGTCTTAGCCAACACTGGTGAAGCGTACGAGTGCCATTTTCTATAATTACATGTATCATAAAAACAATCGAATATTGATCTCCGCTGGAGTTTTTATTTACGTGCTTTCATCCGCCCGCCAATCAAACACACACTTTAGAACAGGAACATCCAGGGATTTTTGATCCATGGACCGTCGTCAATAGCAACAGAGAGGTCCAATGATCAAAGACATTCCCGGAATTACTTTCGTTTGCTTGGAGAAAATTTAAAAATGAAAATAAAAAGGACAATCATGGTGATGTTAATATTAAATATTTTAATACAAGTTTGCAACCGCACACAAATCTATTTTTACAACAATAAATGTAAAAACAACTCACATCGGATACATGAGCTTGTTATAACCAAAAATGAAATTCAAACAATCGATAACTCGCAAAGATAGCGCTCCAAACTACACTTCATGTTGGCATATTCGTCCTCGTCCTTCTTCTTTATGCTGATGAACAAATTGCCCAGAAGCTCATTCACCTCGACCGATGGTATGTCTTTGAGGCACGGCAATTCTCCGGTATTCTGAGTTAGCCACTCGGTACAGCGACGGACATCACGCTCGGTGGTTTTAACGGTACTTAAAGCATCTGGTGTGCTTTTATAAAACCGTCCACTTCGTCTGGTACTTCATTTTCTGGTGCTGGTTCAAGAATTTCATCAAGTTGGCCCTGTCATATCGACCGCAACCACTGCATAATATCCATTTCGTCTGCTGCAGCCATTATCGTCTGCTGCAGCCATTATCGTCTGCTGCAGCCAGTATCGTCTGCTGCAGCCAGTATCGTCTGCATATTGTCAAGGGAGCCAGTAAACAGGATGCGTAAACATATCCATCATCTATGCCAAACTTATTGATTAACGCGATGTACCTTTTTACCAATTAGAATTACCTTTAAACATTAAGATATAAGCCCTGTATTCTTTATGTTATTAAAGGTATGTAATAACTGTTACAACATTACAGCCCGAATACGGGCGTTAGTTCCTTCGCGCAAGGAGATCACCTGCGCTCGAGCAGAAACGCCCATATTCGGGCAGTAATATAAATTATTGGTCTACCCCTACAGTTGGGTTGTGGACCTGAGTAGTTAGTTGTTAAGTTAAAACTAACATTTTCAAATGATTTTTTTCATAACTTTTGCGGGAAACTGTTCACAAATGTACACAGTAAAAGAATTTATACAAGAAATCCCAGCAGAAATGAATTTGTTACTGGGTTAATTTCGAAGAGAATATGATGGTCTTTATTCGAAATATTAACATTTACGCTTTTTCAACGCATTTTACGCATTTTCGCATATTTCATATGTGTAGTCGATGATTCAGTAGTAAATGAATTGTAATATTTGTCCGGAGCATTAATATTTGGGATATTTTTTTTAATATAATATGTATTAGAAGATGTTAAAATTTTAGATAACAGAATTTGTAAAAATATGAAAATACCAAAATTCGAAGGATGAAAGTTATAGTTTGATTTTTTGTTTGAAGATGAAAAAATCAAATTAATACAATAATGCAAAATTAGTGTGAAATGTGAAAACAATTCAACAAAAACTTTTTAACAACGATGGATTGTGATCTTGTTAAAACACAATTCCTAAATCCATAGATAAATTGTTATTCTTTGTCTATATCAAAGTTTGGAAGGGTGGTAGGTTTGAAAAATAATTAAAGCGGGAGGGTTGTCACCTGCGCACGCGCGAGAATTGAGTCTCCAGCGACGAACAATACACGCTAAAAACGTTTGTTTGTGAACAATTACACGCTATAGCCATCTGACGCATGCGCAGTTGACGACCCCCGCTTTAAGTAATACAGTTATTATTTTTCAGTGAATTTGAAAATGAATTTAATTAACAAAAAGACGAATACACACTTTATGGATAAATTTAAAACAAAAACAAATTACATCACTGTTAACTGAAAAAATCTAAGCTTAAATCTAAAAGAAGGAATACAAAATAATATATGCAATACGTTCTACCGGAATCTTTTTCTAGTTGAGTTTCTAAAGATGATTCGTTACCATAACACTATATTTGCTTGCCTTGCATTGTAGTACATATGTGTTGAATGCGTGACAGTATTTAAAACACGTTTTGCTTCTGGAGTACATTGAACATTTCACCACAGGACACAACATTGCAGTTTCCTTGACGTTTAACGATTTTGTTTTAAGTATCTCCGTCATCCACCCGAACCACCAGTTAATCCGGTTATTGAGTTTGTGCAGGCGGTTTTAGTCATCTTACTGACGTGGCACACCTTGGCTACAGGTATTCAACTGTTCAATTCCAAGTACGACTTCAACACTGGACTACGTACATATTAACACCATTTTGTCACACGCCGTTTGATAAGTGTATGTGATTACTTTCAGTTGTCACTGGTGCCACTGATGGAATAGGAAAAGCTTACGCAGAGCAGGTGGGTCCTAGTATCAGTACAGTCCGTTGAAGGTTCATGCTTTATGGGGGGGGGGGCAAGTGGGTAGCTGGTACAGGTTACAAGAAATAAAAACAGCATTTTACGTTTTTACATTTTTTTTACATTTAACACATGGATAACGCATTTTACATTTTTATAAATTATATTTTACATTTTTATAATGTTTTCGATAATTTGAGTTGAAGAATCAAAATTGGAAATTGCGTACGAATTACGACATTCAATTTGAAAAATGCTTCATACGCTTTCAAAAAATAATAGCTCTGTACAAATTACGGACGAATAAAATAGCTGATTACATTTTACACCTTGCCCATCTCTACGAATTTAAGTTTTTTATATATTTAAATAACATTATTACGAAAATAAAAACAATTGATTACAGCTTACGAAAATACCTCTTGCCGACCTTCTTCATATACATTGCAAAATTATCAAAAACAGATCTCAATTTTGATGGTAAATAGTTGGCATCATAAAAAAGGTTGAGGCTGGAACTGAGATCAACACGTATATGGACTGTTATCATTTTATGTTTCACATTTGCAGCTTGCAGAGAAAGGTCTTAATATCGTTTTACTCAGCCGAACTTTGGCCAAGTTGGAAAATGTTGCCCAGGAAATAGGTAAGAAAAAAAGCCTGTTGTTTATATTTATATTTTAACTGAACTGCAATTCTGTCGTCAGAGCACGAGCTTGTATTTTGTGTAAAAAAGATTTTTATTCATTTTTTTGTGTTTATTTATTTATTTATTTATTTATTTATTTATTTATTTATTTATTTATTTATTTATTTATTTATTTATTTATTTATTTATTTGTTTGTTTGTTTGTTTGATTTTATATTCTAGAGTCCAGGTATAACGTTACAACCAAAGTGCTGCAAGTAGATTTCACTGGTGGACCAGAAATATATAAACATATAGCCGAGCTGTTAAATAATCTTGACATTGGCGTTTTGGTCAACAATGTTGGAACAAACCATAGTAATCCTGAATACTTCACAAACTCACCAAACAAGGTACGTACATACTGTTCTTTTATACTACATCATTGATATTTTGGAATGATATATATTAGTAATATACTATTGTACCTGCATAGCCCTATCAGATTCGCTCATTTGGCGGTCGATATATATTTATATTCTCGTCGATCAAAGAAGTTATTTAAGGCTTCTGCGCTTGCGCATACGTTATGATAAATCTAACAATTCCGTTAATGTTTGTCGGCATTTCCCTTGAGAATCACCTTTAATTTTTGAACAGGTCAAAAAATGTAGCATTTTCTTCTCAACATAACGGTTGCCCATGGCAAGTTTTTACCTACAGAAATTATAATTGTAACAATTAATAAATGATAAAAAAAGCACACTTACCATTAGCGTTTTGACGAAAAAAACAACACTTGTGAATGGTGAAACTTATGAATTTTGTCATTAGGAAACAAGGCATTTTGCAGTGCAGCGTTTAACAAAATTCTTGTTTTATTCAGTATAATGTTAAAAATATTGACCTAGCCGCAGTCGATATACAGATTTGTCTACCCTCAGCGGCCGGGGTAAATACTGGTATAATATAATACTATAGAAGACTATTTTAAAGCAAAATAGCTTTTGTTGCCAGGGTTTATCAAATAATTCAGGACCAAGTGATGTTACCAACACACGCTAAAAACGCAAAGTCTCATGGGTAGACGCTTGTTTGTAAACATTGACACGCTATGGCCATCTGACGCATGCGCAGGTGACTACTCCCTCGCTTTAAGATATAGTGTCATTTTTTCAATCAATGATAAAAGTGCTTAATTCAGACAAATCGATCACCATTCACTAAAATATAACTATCATTTTCTGGAAAAATAGCCTCATGTTATTTTTTTAGACTGTATCTTTATATTTTGACTGGAAGGAAAATTTTATTGCCAACTTAATAAATTATATGTCTTTTTCATCATGAGTATGCTACTACCGATAAATTTCCGTTTTTATGCTTACCAGACTCATAGGTTCATGACCATCGTGACTGGCACATCACACAAATATTTGGCTTTTCTGTTTTCCCAACAGTTTATACCAGATATACTTAATGTCAATATATTAGCCTGTACTATGGTAGGTACGATGACATACAAACTTTTCAATATTTTGTCGTATTTTCTTTCTTGGCAATATGTGATATAAATACCCAGTTGTGTGTGAAACCATGTGTAGGATCCGAAAAATGATTATCCTTTTGCAATGTATTCCTGTACTCCCAACTCTATTATAAACCACGTGCCACGTAAATAAATACCCAAGCGACAGAATAACGGACTTATCGTATGTTACATAAACATAACAATCACGGTTGATAGGAAAGCTACCTGATCATTATAGATTTTCACAACTGGCAGACATGCCAACCTACTATTATGAATATTAGTGTATATATATTTCAGATGACAAAAATAGTGTTACCACAAATGGTGAAACGGTATGTATTTAAAACTTATTCATGTTGAATCACATAAATTTGATATAGGCATTATTTCAAAAAAAAAATAGTTCTTGATTTACACTGCATACTACGATTCTCTGTTATTTAGTAAAATTCATGTTATAAGTATAAATCACTTTATTATGCGGAAAATAATCACAATTTCTGGAATTAACTTCACAGGCGTAAAGGTGTGATTATCAACATATCTTCAGCTGCGGGATTAAATCCCTTGCCATTACTCCTAATATATTCATCAACTAAGGTATCGTTCTAAACTGTACAGAATAATTTGTTTTATGTTGTTCATGAATGCAGGTTTTTGATCCATTCAATAAATCAATGTATGCATATAATACCTTCTTTATAATACTAGTACTTTGTGAATATTGTCACCTGAATTCAAATAACAACGTTCTACACACCGTAATCGACATTTACATTTTTCTTAAGGTTTGACCGAATGCAAACATTTAATTCACATATATCTTGGTATAGTAAAATCGTAACACGTGCTTTGAAATATTGCAGGCGTTTATGGATTTTTTTCACTGGGTCTACACAAAGAATATGCTTCGACGGGCATAATAGTGCAGGTTAGTGTAACGTCTAGTTATTTGACATTTCTGCATTATATCGTTGAATATCGTTCCTGTTTCTAGAACCTCTAACATAATTCCGCGCCTGAGTTAGAGGCATTGCATAAATTTGCATACATGATTATTGTTATCATTGGTATAATATTGTCATGTCTTGGATGTATAATTAAGCATATGCAATAATATACATATACAAAACCCTTTTTTTATCTTCTATCTTGCAGTCGGTAATGCCGTTTTTTGTAACCACTAAGCTGAGTGGTATAAGTAATGCTAATCTAATGATACCTACGCCAACAGACTATACTAAAAGTGCCCTGCAGACAGTTGGTTTAGAACACAGAACCAATGGCTACCTTGCTCACTCAATACAGGTAAAGTCACCAGTATTTACTATCTCTATCATTTGTTGCAGCCGCTCGCTTCTATAAATTCTCGTTTGATTAAATTCATTGTCACAATTTCTAGATTGTTCAAGATTATTTCGTTAAAGTTGGTGAATAACACCTGTAGTTGCAACGTATTACGCTTCTATGCGAATATTTTTTTTAAATTATACAATCATAGTTATGTTTGGAGAACGACTACATATTATTATCTAGCTAAATATGCATTACATTGCACATAGAGAACAAATATTGAGAACATTTATCATATACCTTTTTCATATGAATCCTTTGATATTCATTTTAGGGATGGTTATTTGAAAGAATACCAGAATGGGTCAAATATAAATTGGTAATGGCAACTGGGGAACGATTTCATTCATACTTTAAGGAAGCTGAATTAAAACAAAAAAATAAAAATTAAAGCAGCAAATGATGTCAATGACCCGATGATGTCAATGGGAATGGAATTCATTTAAGTTGAATGTGAAATGATGGTTTATAGTGCAGTGCCATTCACAAAAACGCGTTGGCCAGACATTTTACGTGCAACATATCAAAGGTGATGTGGTAGACATTTGATTAGACAAGGTCAATGTACTTGTAGTGTTATTGCAATTACATTTCTAAGACACATCGACTTGGCATTACAATAGTATTGTGTTCATAACTTTATTTGAATAGTAACTTATAAGAACACAAGTGTTAATATACTATTAAACGAGTTAACACAAAATAAAGACAGTATATCCAACAAGAAAAATGTCAATTTGTATAAAGTATATACCCAACATTGTCCCAGTATTAGACCAATGGTTTTCTCATTGTGGTGAAAGCAAAATAAGAAAAAGCATATAAATTACATTGATATAATTTGAAAGGAATCAGGAAAACCATGAACAAGCTGATAGATAACATAAATTGGATTGTTGGCGATTACTCAATCTAGGCGTAAAAAATTTCACGGCATTGGCAGACCTCTTATTATACACAGCATACTGGGTTGTTTGCTGATCTTCAACAGTGTTAATAACGTTGTAATAAGTCCAGGATCACTCAGCAGTGAAAATATCACTGAAGTTTCCCCCAAGATAAAAAACAGTTGAAGAATTGGAAAATGAAATGAAAGAAAAGGGGCTAATTTTGAAGTACGATTTTTCGATTTGTTAACATACTTTTGACTTCTAGGCAACAACTCTCCTTCAGCTAACTTTTACAACTTGTCAGCAATATTTTACAAACTTTAAACGAACATTTTCGGCTTTAAAATTATCTTTTTAATGTTTTGACTTGCAATTTGCTTTATTAGTTTTCAGGCCAACTTTACTGACTTTCCCAAAAACACTTTTCACCTGATACAAAAACTCCCCCAAAATTTAAACACCAAGCATTCAGCAGAATATGTTCGATTAAAATCACGACAATATATACATTCACAAATCAGCTACTGGTGATTGCCTTGCCTGGTAATTCAGAGTTACATGCCTGATGGGTTACTTATATGCAAATATGTCTTTAATCACATGAAATCGACACATTTTTCAATTTTCTAGCCACATTTTCAGCCAAATGTTAATTAACAATGTCAACAATGTTAATTAATTTAATGTTAAATATTAATTACCAAGTGTTTTTTTCACAGCGATTCAGTAATGATAAAATAGCACATGATA